TTATTAAATTATCCCTAACACTCTGGCCTTCCACGCCTTATCCTATTTACTAGTTCATAACCTTTGGGATACGTTCATCTTCTACTATCCGGCCGGACCACATTCTTCCCTCTTAATAATAGCAAATACGCCTCCTCGCCAGAGTGGGCTATACCCCGCAGCCTTGTATCCACTGACTGGTCTAATCGCTCAGCCGCGACTACCCACGTGGCAGTTATCACCGGCCCAATCGACGAAGTCAACCAGAGGTTGTCGTTAATTGTAGCCGTCTCCGCAAAAAAATAAGTGGTTACAGATAAGCAACTATGGCTGGTTTTGCTGGAAACTACCGATTCTGGACAGACCAGATGTGACGAGTCTTATACGGTCATATGCCAAAATCAAGCAAAGTCAATCAGGATTCCTATACGCTCAAGGAAGTTATCTTGATCCATTTGAAAAAAAATACGCTAATATTAGCGGATGTCAATTAACAACCGGTCTGAGCGCTGTATTCAGGTTCTAACGTGGGTACAACGAGTAACAGCTTATTTGTTCTGTCATAGCAAATACTGCCTTTCGAAACTATTTCACCATGTTTGTTCTTCCAGTGACCCAAGGATACCTGTCTACAGCAATTTACGAAGCAGGCAATTTTCGTCCACACAAAAATTGGATAAGCTGTTCGTTTGCTCCAAATTATAATAGTCTGATGGCTATGACAGTCAGGCAGTCAAGAACGATTACGTCCACCGTGTTCGCCGCGGAGGGAACGCAGAATGGTAACTGGCTCATGAATTTGTTTAGAGTGAGACAGATATATGTAACACCTACCACACTCTCTCTTTCCTCAATCGTCTGGCTCCGGTAGTAAGGCAATATCAGGACGAAAGGAAGGGCGAACTCGGGCAGTTGAAGGATGATTAAATCAAGCATGCTCTTAGGGAAAAGTAAGCTTTTTACACGTATTTACGGGGCAGTGTCAGGTAAATGTGTACCAAGATCATTTACTACCTAGAAGTAAAAGGTATATTACTTTTACAAAGTCTGGAAGGTTTTCCTCCACATTTCGCAAAGACTAAAAGTCCGCAGATTGTAAATTGTCAAATGTGACAAAGCTGAAGTCCGTAATGCAAGCGGTGCCGACATCCCCAAATTTGAATTATCGATACGCAGTCAAATGTCACAATACGCAGACTAAAATCCTAGAGTATGCTGCAAAGTAGAGTCGATATATTCATTACTAAGGAATATAATAGCAGATGAAAGAATATGACACGCCGTGATGGTGGTAGCGGTGACTGAAAATTGACTTTGGTCATCTTGAGGTGAATAGAGCTAATTACTACTCAAAGTGGGCTTCGGACCCGCTCTTTCTACACTCACTGTCGCAATGGGAGTTTAAGTCAAGACAACCGAAGGCGAATGAAAGCGCAGTGGCAGACAAGACTTCATTTCCTGTCCGGGAGGGCAAGTATGTATTGTTTGAGTAACATCGAGGTCTACGAGCTAGTATTACAATTGACATAACTACCGCGGTGTTTCTTGTACAACTGTGGATTTGTAGGCTCATAGTCTGC